GCATGGAGGAGAAGTACCTGCCCGAGCTGATGGCGGAGAAGGACTCCCTGGACCCCTCCTTCACGCACGCTCTGCGGTTGGTGAACCAAGGTGAGCGCAGCCGTTAACCGCCGCCCGCCCGCGGCCATTGGGGGCCCCGGGACTCAGAGGTCCGGGGGCCTGCGGGCCGGGGGTCCCGGGGTCGGGTATCGCGACGCTGGAGGAGGCACCAGGGTGGGGCCCTGGAGAGCACGGGACACCCCGCGGGGGGGGGACTCAGGTGTGAGTTTAGGGAGCTTGGGGGGAAGGACACAGCTGTGGGATTGGATGACAAGTGGCAGAAAAGCTTGGGGGACTCGAGATACCCAAGAGGAACTTATGGGTGGGGGACAGTGACGCTTTGGGGGCTTCACTGGGGAGGAGGTTGCTTTAGTTTACTGGGGGAGAGTGGGGTGTTCAGTTGCAAAGGTTATAGAAAGAGCTGGGGAGACATGGAAGGATGCAGAGGGTGGGAAGGGAGCAGGTGCTTGCTTTGTTGGTGAAGTTTGGGGACCTTGGAGGAGGTTTGGGGTCAGATCCCAAGCATCTTAGAGGACAGGGACCCAGCGGTGCCTTGCAAGCGCGAGTTACCTCTCTTAAGCCCACTTCTTCCAAGTCCAGCCTCCAGCCATCCTGGCTGGGTGGTCTGCTCTCTCCGGGGTGGGCAACTCCTGCCAAGCCCCAGAGCAACCCTTGGCGAGTTCAGTGGTGGTGGTGGGGATTGGCCCTGGAGCCCCCTTCTTGGCTTGTTTCCTTTCCTTGGGAAGCACTGGGTGGGTGGGTGGCCCTCATTGGCTTGGTGTTGAGAACATTGAAGGAGCAGTTATTGCCGCCTCTGCCATTTCAGCACCACTCCAGCCCGCTGGGCATGGGCACTGGGCACGGTGCTGACAAGGAAAAGGCAGGGAAGCGGGGTTGATGGAGGCGCGCCCACCCCTGGACTGCACTCCTTGGCTTGTTTGTTGCTCCTGCTTTCTGAGCGATCTGCTGGGATGGACGGTAAATGAAGCTTCCTGGGAGCTGTCCACGCTCCCGTATGCGGATAAAGACGGGCACTGGTCTGCTTTTGCTCTGGGAGATAGCAGAACCATTATAGTCAGATCTGCTACTGTGTGCACGAACCCGCTCTGTGCAGCCAGCGACAGCCTGCGGGTCTACTCATCTTCATGTTGGCTAGGCTCTTTTATTGTTGGAAGTGAAAGAGGAGGCAGACATGTTCTATTTGTATATTTTGAAACGGCACCCTCCCGTATTTGCCTATTGCAACCACTTCATCCTGGATGGGTGTGTGTTATCCGATGGTGGTGGTGGAGACTCATACTGCCTTCAGGAATGGAAGCCTGGGGTTTGGATGGTTAAACTGAAATGGGTTTCACAGTGCTTCTCCCTGTTATTTGAATGGGAGCTTATTTTTACTATGCATACAAAGTAGTGGGCATGTATTCTTGAGTTAGAGAAAGATAACCTAAGTGTTAATGCCAGGCTCCCCTGGACAGTTCAGCAGTTAGGTTTGTATGCCTGGCTGTTTGGGATTTACATACATCTTTTGTTGCCTGCTGGGCTGACAGCTCTAGGAAAGGAATTTCTCTCCACATGATGTGTGATCAGTGGCATTAGAAATGTGGAATCCAGTACGTTTTTCTATTATTAATGAAGTAGCCACATGAAAGTTGTGTGATGTTCAATTAAGGAAATACTAGTTTCACTCTAAGTGTCCTGAGTTCTCTCCTATTTTCAGAGTCAGAATTGTTTTTCTCTGTGCCACATCACTATAGTATTGTGTTGCCGATGCATTCAGCAGTCTTTTGACTTCTGTGTTGATGCTAGTGTTAATGGCTTCCAGTGATTTAAAAGGTTGGAGAAATGTTGCCATCTAGTTGTTTTTGTTTTGTTCTGATTTTTAATGTTAAACCTGATTGTCAGCCTTTTCTATCAAAAATGTTCATCTTGTCAGAACCGCAGTTCTTTCATTGAGCAGTTATGTAAAGGAAGACAGAGATGCTACTCAGATGCTTTTATTATTGCGAATTCAGAGTACTTCAGACTAAAACATTTTCCTCTGAAGTAATAGGCAACTATCCAGGATGCTAAGCCCTATCATTTTAAATATTAATTATGCTCTGTTATGCAACTCCAAACTTGCAAGTGAATTTCTAAAACATAGTCACTGAGTTAGAATGACAATTGGGAAGCTCTGATTCTGTTTCTGGTTCATCTTGCTAAAAGACTTGATGAAACATTGTTATTCTTATTTCGCTGGGGGTTTTTCCATACTGTTTTGCCCCTTAAAAGAAGTTGTGTTGTTTTTTTTTTTCCAGGGAATATTCAGGCACTGGATTGCATGATGAGATGGGCTCGCATTACAAACCTGGGTTTTTAGCTTAGAGTAGCATGTAGCAGATCTATTCTGTGGCTTACATCTCCCAACACTAACTATGCCCTAGGTTTGCAGAGTGTTTTAAAGTTGATAGGCACTTTGACACACAAACTGTCTCTTTCATCCTCACCCTTGCATCCTTTGAGGCAGGGATCAGTGTCTCCATCCCTCTGGGGAGGGAGCCAGGGACCCCAGCTCTCCAGACTGTAGGAGCTGTGGATTTAATGGGAACCAGGTCTGCTGCCTCTATGTCAGAGTTCTCCTTTTACCTTCGGAAGAGATGGGCTCAAACCTTTCTCACCAGCCCGTAAAAAACCCTGTGGAAATCAAGATAATCAGTATGATTGTCTGGGTTGACTTAAATATAGGGGAGATAATAGGTGTCTCTTAAAAAGACCGAGCCCATTTATCTTTACTTTTTAAAGTTTCTCTCTGTCCTTGTCTTAGTGGTATTTGTCCAGGTTCCTTTCTGGTGCCTTTATCCTCCAGCCAAGCTTTCTTGTTGAACCTGCTCTCTTGTGATCACTGTGTTAGTTAATAGTCAGCACATTATGCTAACAAGATTCGTTCTGAACATGAACAGCCAGGTTTTCTAGTTTCAGTATGGGTGAACATGGACCAGCTCCCGAGTGAGGTGGCTGTTTTCCCTCACTCCCTAACCATCTTTTTGTAGGACCTGGAGCTGCACTGACCTTAGATGTGCCAGCCTCTGCTAATATGGGGAGTCTCAGAAAGTTCCTGGAAACCTGGAATTACAAGAGAATGGAATTTCCCCATGAACCTTTTGAAGACCCTATCACCCTGTCAGTTGGATTTTAAACATTCTAAGGCTTCTGTTTGATAATGAGCATCAGTTGCTGCCTTTTATTTTTGTTTAATCAATTTCTGCTTCTAGTCTTGGAACCACTATTGCCTTGGAGTGGGTTCGAACTCATAGCAACCCTGTGGGGTTTCAGAGACTGGAAATCTTTATGGAAGCAGGAAGCCTCACCTTTCTCCCACAGACCAGTGATTGGTTTCAAACTACTGACCTTATGGTTTACAGCTGGGTGCTTTAACCACTGCACCACCAGGGCTCTTGCCTCGTTTTTCTCCCATACCTCCCATCCTCTCATAATACTGAAAGCTTTACTTTTCTCTACCAAAAGTAAACTTGCAATGTTGTTGTTATGTGCCGTGGAGTCAGTTCCGACTCATAGTGACCCTGCACAGGGCTTCGGAGGCTGTAAATCTTTATGGGAGCAGAAAACCTCATCTTTCTCCTGCAGAACAGCTGGTAGTTTCGAACTGCCGACCTTGAGGTTCGCAGCCCAATTCGTAACCACTATGTTACCAGAGCCCCTTTTACCTGCAATACTCTGGATCAAACACAATCCCCAATCTGAACCCACTACTGTGGAGTCCATTTCAGCTCATGTATGACCTGTAAGACAGAGTCTGACTGCCCTCTAGGGTTTCTGAGATGAAATCTTTATGGAAGCACACATCTTTCTCTTGTGAAGCCTCATCTACCTTTGTGTTAGCAGCCCAGTGCTTAACTCACAATGCCACGAAGGCTCTATATACTCTGGGTTGTTATTGTTGCTAGGCACTATTGAGATGGTGCTGACTCAGGGACCGTATATAGGCTTACTGAGGCTGTAAATCCTTAAGGGAGCAGAAAGCGTCTTTATCCCGTGGAGCAGCTGGTGGGTATGAACTGCCCAACTTGTGGTTAGTAGTCCAATGCTTACCCTACAGTGCTATCAGTGCTTCAGTACTCTGTATTTGATGTTAAAGAAGAATCAAAGAAAATAGGCTTGGATATTCTCTTTCCTCAGCCCCTCTGCCTGCCCTGCCCCCTCCCCAGGTGCCTGTAAGGTAGATTGGCTTAGCAGGTGCTTGCCAAGGGAGTTCATTGGAGAGGAAAGTGGAGCTGTGTGCTCTGTATTATATTGGCTGGTAGGGGATGTGCTGACTCTTAGTGAAACCCATCTTCAGAAATGTCTTACGCGTTATAATTCAATCCACTCTCCGGTATTGCTTTGGATGGTTTTCAATCCAAGCCAAGTCACTGTTAAATAAGATTACACAACCCTGCATTTTTAATTATCTGATAGAATGTATGGATTAGGGGCCCAATCACTGCCAAGCTGTATTTAGTTGTTGGTAGTGACAAGAGGAGCTGGAGCAAAGGATTCAAGACCAAGGTGGTCTGTTTGCATCTCGATGGATAAAGTTTTTTGTTGGCCGGCCTTTCAAAAATAAATACATTCCTCAAATCAATTTCTCAAGCATTACAATCTGCGAGGGGGATAAAAATGTATACAGGGAGAATCATTGCCTTACCCGATGTGCTCCTCTGAAATCCACTAAGACATGTCATTGGGAGAAGGGGCACTTTTGGAAAATTACTTTCGATTTGCTTGGAAGTTGTCAGGTCTATAGTGAGAGTGAGGGTTTTAGAACCACGTTGAGGGGTGGAGTTACCCTGGTAAGGGCTGTGCTCGAAGGCTGTGGTGATTTCATTTTAAAATGCTTCTCTTTGGATTCATCCATTTTGTGCTTGATTGTTTGGTGCCGTGGGCTAAGCATTGGGCTGTTAACAGAAAGGGTAGCAGTTCAAACCCACCAGCTGGACTGCTTCTGTGAAGACGACAGTCTTGAAAATCTTGTGGGGCAGTTCTGACTCTATCTTGTGTGGTTGCAATGAGCT